AAATAATTTGGAGCTATTAATAAGTTATTTAAATAAAATATATTAGGTTATATAAAATTTATAGTAGTATATTATTACTTAACAAAATTCTAATTATAATACTTATAAACTAGTATTGTTAACAAAATTATAAATATTTAATTAATATAGTAATTTGGAATCATTACTATGAAAATAATCTGAGATTATATTAATTTTGTGAATAAAAATTAAAATTACCAACTATCTAAATATCTAATTCAAATACTCTTTATTTTATTTTATAAAACTTATTTAGCTTCATAAAATAAAATAAAGCTTATTCAAATTAGATATCTAGATAGTTAATAATTTTAATTTTTATTTACAAAATTAAAGAATCATTTTAATAGTAAAATCTTATTTACTCAGAATTTAGAGCAATTGGTATATTATTGCAATAAGAATATGTGTTAGCTTTATTGTATTATGTATAGTATTTATTAAAAAATTTAATTACTATATGAGCCAAATAGTTAAGTTATTTTAATTATTATTTTGTGTTAACTTTATTATAGCAGTGTTGTATATAGGATGTGTCTATATTATATTTGATGTCTAACATTCAAGATTGTCTAAAATTATTCAAACCTATATTCTAAATTTAAACAATCAATAAAGTAAGTTAAAAAAATATATAATATTTTTTTTTCCTTCAGTAATCCTGTTTACTTTATTATTGGAACAGACTTTCATTCTTACACAGCATAAGAAATCTAAATCTATAAGTGCTCTAACCAAAATGTAAACTTACCCATAGCGTATTTTGCAGATGCCGTAACATCCACTTGCAGTCAAAGCAAACTATTAAACCATTGTGTTTTGCTCAGATACAATCGCCTAGCAATACTTGGCCTCCTTCAGAGATCCAGAACTCACTCCGAACTTATTTCTTCCAGATTCCTCAGCTAGCTGTTGTTTACCTGTCAAAATTCCCGCCCTACAATAAAATGCCGCCAAACTGATGACACTTTCTTGTAGAAAAGGAAAAAAGAAAAAAAAAGGATAATGGAAAACGAAAAAAGGAGTAAAAAAATAAAACTAATACATCAAAGAAAACAAATACTAATACTAAAGAATATAAAAAAAAACTAAACTAAAATCTAAAAAGAACTATCGCTAAAGAGAAGAAAACCTGCTAACTAGGCAAAAACTTCTAATTATACAGAGTCACGATCAACTATTAAGTGCAAGAGTCTTGACAAGAAAGATAAAACTAAAATAAAATGTACTATAACTCATGCCAGAAACTAAAAATTATATATAGATGACTAGAGGATGTCTGTATATTTCTTTTCACTTTGCTTTACTCTTTCAATTAAATCCATATCTTTATTTAAAAGTATAAGAATTTTAGAATCTCTACATATCCTATCCAATAATCACGTGTTTGTATGTTTTCAACAACATGACACATAAGGTATTCTTCCGAACACTTATCCAGTTACTAAATTTGCTAGCACCATCTATTTTACACGTATTGTTTGTCATTATGCAGATTTTCCTGATATAGAAATGGTAAACATTGCCGATCTTTTGGAGAGGGTATGCTGAATTCTCCACTTTTTGTCAAAAATTATAGCCAAAAGTATCGAAAGAAGAAAAGTACTGTATTTGTGAGAGCTCAAGACAAAGAAGGTGTTTCCAGTTGTTTATCGTAGAACTAAAAAGCTTCAGACACTTGAGTCATGAGTTTTTCATCACTACTGTTACCAAAATAAACCTTTTAGCTTGGATGCCGAACATGCAAGAGAGTTCACCCAGAAGTAAAGCTTAATCCAGAGCACAAACCAACTATATACGTCCTGCTCCTCAATGTTTCACATATAAGTCTTCGTCGATAACAGTACCAATAAAGAACCTCAGATATCTTCAAACTTCTTAGAGCCTTGAATCTTCAAACTGTTTTGGTCCGGTCTTGGTTCAAGTAATCATTAGAAAGAGTTATATAGAGTCTGAAAAAATATATAATATTATATTTTTTTAGATATAAAATTCATTTATAAAAAAATTAAAATAAATTATTAATAATAAATTTTTGAATAATTTTAATTTGAAAAAATATCTAAAAGTGTTTAAAAGTATCTATATAATAACATTAATTATGATATAATTAATTACATAATATCTAATAAAAAATTAGCTGAATAATTTTAGACAATTTAATTAAGTTATGATTTTAATATAATTAGTATATAGAAGATATTTTTGTATTATATACAATTCTTATTGTACAGATTTTTAAAATTTTAGTACACTAACTGTTATTAAATTGTATATTATTTTAGATCAATTATACCAAAATTATGAATTTAATTAAATCAACAAAAACCATTCAGATAATTTTTATTATATGTTTTAAAAATATAAAAAAGCTATAATATAAAAAGTTCAATTATTTGAGCATCTTCTTTCTCTTTCTATAACTAAAGGTAACTAGACTTAAATTAGTTTATAAACAGAAATTAAGAGGTGATTTGCTATACTTAGATGGTTATACAAAATACAATAGATAGCTAGAATTTACTTTTTGATACAAATCTGTAACTTATCTTATCATATATATAGCAAATTTATAAAAAAAAAAGTTAAATTATACTTATAGATCAAATACTAGAAAAATTTTAATTACTCTACTTATCAACTAAATTATGAAGACTTAGTAATAAGTAATAAATGATTTAAATAATAAATATATTAGTTTTGTATTAGAATTATATAATTATTAATTAAACTATTTATTTACTATATATATATTAAATTCAGAGAATTTGTAGTTACTAGTAATTTTTAAAAAAAGTAATAATAATTAAAAAATAACTATATAAAAATAATAAAATACTAAACTAAACAATCCTCTTCATATTTAAATAGATTACAGAGAAATTCTTGCATTAAATGATATATATGATTTTATAAATACTACAAACTCTCCTCAACTATCACCACAAATTAACATCTATACACAAGATATATAACTAATATATAATAGAATTAACTCAACTGCATATCAAAATCAACTTGCTAATCTTTACTTCCTTATTCAGAACCTTGATTCTCAAGAGCTTCATTTTCATACTGATGCCTCAATTCAGAATCTACAATCACCAAACATAAAATCTGGCATTGGCTGAATCTATGAAAATAATTTATCTATCAAATTTAATACAGCTACTACCTCCTATCTAGATACAATACGTACTGAACTAGAAGCAGTCATCCCTCTCCTTCTTGCAATCCCTAATAATACTCATATACATATCTATTTAGATAACAAGACAGTAATTAAAAACTTAAAACAAATTCAAATTAAATTCATCAAAAATCTCACCTTCACTCTGCACAAAGTTAATTCACATTCTAATTCTCTACACAATCAGGCAGATCTGCTAGCCAAATAAGAAACAAACAAGTCTATTCTTAGAATCTCTTACAATTATATAAACTTACTAATTTACTTCTAATAGAAAAATTACTTAATTCTTTTTAAAATCTGAACCTTTATTAAAAACATTTATACTATACAAGAACTTTATTCTTGGTCTTCACTCAAAATATTTAAAGACTTATCTAATATACAATGAACTTTATGTTTCGATATTCTAAATTCTTTTAATAACAACCTATTTAAATATTCACTAAGAATTAAAATTCTAACTAACAATTTTCCAACTATAGAAAATTTAAATATTCGATACCCTTATCTATATTCTGTATCAAATTGTACTCATTATTCCAACTTAGAAGATACATTACACTTATTTTTCTGTCTAAATAATAATATCAATATTCAACAATCTTTAATCAACATAATCACCAACTCACTCATTTCTCTTAAAATTACAAATACATCTCCAAACACTATCTTTAATATCTTTTTTTGTCTTATAATTAACTCTCTTAACCTTCTCTACAATTTATTCTTATACTACATCTTGGGTATTTACTTCTCAACTATTTATGAAAACATTAAATTACATACTGCTAAATAAACTAAAAAGCTCCTTATTCTTTTATCTAACAACTTACTTAATTGGTTCTATGATGAAATATGGACTATACATATATCTCACAACACCAATGGGAACAAGCCAGAAATATTACAGCTAAAACTAAATGAAACAAATATATTTTACCAAATACTTCTTCTTTAACAACTAACTCATCATCTAATTTACCTTAAACAGACTTTCTTTTTTTATAAAAAAATGGTTTATACAAGGTTTTTCTTTAACTAACTGTATATTCTAATGTCATGATATATACTTTAAGTTTGCTCTAATCTAGTTTAGCTATATAATTATTTGGAATAATTAATAATAGCATTATATAAAAATTAGGGGGTATAATGTCACATTGAGTGCTTTATTAGTAGCATAAGTGTAGTTCAAAATTTTTAAATATAGATATTTTTCTAATTTTTTTAAATAAAGTTTCAACTATACATTTATAAAAAAAAAAATAATAATAATAATAATAAAATAAGGGTGTTGTTTTAGAGCGACCCGTCACCATGGCGACCCCATGATCGACCAATCAAAATCAATCATGTGGATCACGTAACGACTTAATAATTTAAGTATCTTTTATTAATAAAAAAAAAAAAAAAAATTACATAATTATTATACAATGAACGTCGTTGCATAACAAACAAAAAAAAAAAATCTATAATGATTATCTTACCCGTAACAAAAATCCAACACAAATATCTGGCAACACCAAATTCGACAAAAACCACCACCAACGCCAAAGTTTTAACACCAAAAGTGACGACGGCACCAATGACAACACCAACGATGACACCAATGACGAAGGCTCCAACACTAAAAAAGGCAGCACCAATGATGGAAAGCTCCAATACAAAAACGACGACACCAACGAGAAGGCTCCAACATCGAAAAAGACGGCACCAACGATGAAAACATACATAAAAAAGAAGAGCGTTAGTAGGTATTTAAAAAAAAAAAAAAAAAACAAAGGGAATGAAACGTAGAAAAGGAAATAAAGAAAAAGAAACGAAAGAAAAAAAAGAACAAGGGAAAAAAGAAACAAAAGGAGAAAAAGAAAAGACAAAAGAGAAGAAATAAGAAAAAAAATAACGAATAAAGAAAAAATGAAAGGGGAAAAAAAAAAGGAAACGAAAGAAATAAAGAAAGAATAGAGAAGAAAAGAAAACGAAGAATGAAAAGATGAAAAGAAAAAAATAAAAGAAAAGAAAAAGAATCGAAGAAAAATACTGAAAAAGAAAAAAACGAAAAGAAGAAAACGAAAGGAAGAAGAAAAAGAAAAGAAACAAAGGGAAAAAGAACAAGAAAAAGAAACGAAGAAAAAGGAAAAAATAGAGAAAATAGGAAAACCGAAAAAAATGATAAAGAAGGGAGAAAAAAAAAAACAAAGAAAAAGACAAAAAAATGAAAAGAATAAAAAGCAAATGAAAGGAAAAGAAAAGAAATAAGAAAAAGAAAGAACAAAGAAAAGAAACAAAACAATCGCCCAAAGAGCAACACCAACAGCCCAAATCCCAATGACAACCCTAACAACAATCAAACACAACTCCAACGACGGTGTCAACGACGGCTCCAACAATTGAAAAAAAAAAGCGTTAAGAAAATATAAAAAACTATATCAAAAAAAAAAAAATACGATTGAAAAAAAAAAACTAAATCCTGAACCTGGCGACAGAATGACGAAAGACGAAACCACCAACGAAAAAATCCAAGACCTGCAAAAAAAAAAAGAGCGAGTTATTAAACATCAAAAAAAAAAAAAAAAAAACCCCCGAAATCCCGAACCTGGTAACAGAATGACGCAAAAAATACCCCTAAACTGTGAAAGACGAAACCACTGACGAAAAAATCCAAGACCTGCAAAAAAAAAGAAGAGTGGGTTATTAAACATCAAAAAAAAAAAAAAAAAACAAAAAGAAAGATAAGAACGACAGGAGAATAAAAAAAAAAACTATACAAGAACGACAAGAGAGAAAAAAAAACCCAAAAAACTACTTACAGAACCCCAAGATACTACGACATCAACGTCAAAACCAAATCCGAAAAGCAACAAGCTAAAAAAAAAAATTAGTAACCAGAAAGCGAAGCAAAAAGAAGCAAAAGCAAAGCAAAACAACAAAACAAAAAAAAAAATAATTATCATGATACACGAAAAAAAAAATTTATATATGATCGACAATCTCAAAAATAATTAGCCGATCATATAAGGGTCACAATGCGACAGGTCGCCAATTTATTTTTGCTATAAAATAAAATAAATAATATAAAAAAGTAAAAATATAAAAAAATTAGACTGTTGCTAACTTGTCCCCATGGTGATGTCACCCAGGTTACTGTATCTCAAAAACCTACTAGTTAACACATGTCAGAGGTACTAAGCAAAAATGTTCAGAACCTCCAAAAATCTAATTCTAACTGAAATTTAGACCTTTATATCTAGCCCTTATTTTTTTCTAAAACTGCACCCTAACCCTAAATTTTGATAAAAAATTAAAGGCGGTGACATCACTATTGGTTAAAAATAGTTATAAACAAAAAATTAAATATTAAAAATAAAATATTAAAACAATATAAAAAATAATAATCAAAAATATAAAATAATAATGATATCTTAGTTAATAACAAAACAAACTAAACTACAGAAAAATGTTATAAAAAAGTAATAAAATAGATATAATAATACTCTTGATTTATACAAACAAACTTGCTGTCAATAAAGCTACTATATATATAAAATACCAAGAAGCAGACATATAATAATGAGCAGATCAAACTTTCTAATAAACTTCTTTACATTTTCAGTATCAAAACCAGAAGTATTATCTGAAAACAATGTTCCTATAGGTCTCTGATCAAGAATATCTAGTAAAAACTAAGAAACTAGACTATACAACTGTAAAACTTACAAGAAAACTATCACATACTCTTATTGGCCTACTACTTTTTTTCAAAAAAATTTTTGTAAAAAGTGAACAATTTAATTTACTTTCTCTAAAAAATCGATATTATATGCACCAAAACAGTCAGCATTGTATATCTTCTAAATCGATATAATAGGACAACAAACATGTCAAAGTATGTACCTTGAATATAAAAAGTCAATCAAATAATGCTTCAAAACTAATCTGGCTTGAGTACTAACCTCTACCTAATTTAGTCAAAAAAGTGTTTTTCTAATAGTTTTTTAAACTTAAATATACTAAATAAATAAATTTAAAGTAGAGATATAATTTATTTAGTTTTAGTATAATTTTTTAAGGCCTTTCACAGGCCCATAAATATAATACTGTATTAGAATAGTCATTCTTTTTGTTTTTGTTTTGATATTTCTCTTATCTTTTATCTTCTTGCTTATATCTTTTATCATTATCTTTTATACCTTTATATTTTTTTTTATCTGTTTATTTTTTTTTGTTAGGCTTCTTAATGAAGTATGCAGCTGCTTCAGCTAGTGATTATTAGGATAGGAAGTTGAGAATCCAATATAAAGCATAATGCTGCTAGCCTGGTTACACTAGTATCTTAGTGCTAAGTAAGTCTCTTTATATAGGATTATAGTATATAAAATTAAATTTTCTATTAATATAAATCTTCTAATACTTCTAATAAAGTATGAAGCAGGACTACTAAATATAAAAAAAATAATATAAAATAAATAAAAATAAATAAATCAAATCAAAATAAATAAAAAATTGAAGTATTAAAAATATAAATTGAAATAAAAAAATTAAGTATAAAAAAATAATAAATTTAAGTATAAAAAATAAGGCAGCCAGAGCGGCCTCCCAAAGTGCTAGTGACGTAATCATGGCACAGCCACTATATATACGAATAATTGCTATCTTACAGTAAAAAAAAAATATGCAGCTAGAAAAGAAACAATAAGTTGCATTAATTGATCTTATGTCACCGGCACTTTTGGGGGCCGCCCTGGCTGCCTTATAAAAAATAATAAATTTAATAAATGATTTGCTAGTTATCTTAAGAGCTATATAATGCAAATTATACAAGATTTATATATAAATTATATATAAATTTTTCAATTAATAAATATGGAGATATTATATCTAAATTTTTTCTTACTGAGTAAATTACTCTTAGGCTTATAATGAAAGTTGTAAAGCTTATCAAAATGTATCTAATAGTAGTAAGAATGTTAAAATTGACTTGTAGTTCTTGAGAAATCTTTAAAAAACATTTCTTTAACATATAAAATTTCTTTAAAAAAAATTGATTTTTTATAGAAATTTTATATATTAGCAAAATGTTATTTGAAGATTTCTCAAGAACCACTAAGCCAATTAATATTCTCACTACTATTAATAATAAATAGATATTTAGAATTAAATACTTGAGTAAAATATTGGCAACAATAACTGAGCTAAAAACAAGAAGATCAGACTTATATAAGACTAACAAATATATTATTTGCTTATAGAAATTAGAAATAATAAATAGGGTTCATCAAAATTAAATCAAATATTAAGCAAATTTGAATTTGATTTACTTTAAAATTTTTGTATTTAAATTTGATTTGATTAATAAAATCAAATCAAATCAAATAATATTTAAAATTTTTTAAAATTTTTAAAATTTTATTATTTTTTAAAATCTTCAATTTACAAAAAATTTTATTAAATTAATTAATTTTGTATATTAAGTAAAAAATATTTTTCTAATTAAAATATCTATAGTTTAATAGAAAAAAAAAGTGATTATCTTAAAAAATTTTATGTAAATAATTATATTTAGAAAAAATATGCTTATCACTAGCAGTAACAATAATCAGATTTGGATTAGAGTTGGATTTAGAGTTAAAAGTAGATTAATTATATAGTAAAATACCTTAAGAAACATTTTTTGTTAGAATATAAATGGTGGTTTTATATATATAATTTTGAGTTATTACGATTTGTAATTTTTTAAACATATGGGCGGATTTGACTCCGATCACAAAAAAATATGATTATTGCAAAACTCATGCTGATTGGTTGAGTTATGTAATACAATATTAAAATTTAAGGCTTCGTAAAAATAACACAATTTTTTATGTATTATTGTTTAAAAATTTATATTTTGTATTTTGTAATCAACAAGATCTTGGCTTCAAAGATCCAAAATTCTTACTAATGACAATGTCAAAGGGTAGAACACATAAAAACACAGGATTGTGATATGTGGCAAAGATCTTAAAATCGTTTCGGTATTAGTTTTCATGTTTATATTCAACAAGACTTCGACTAAATGATCTCAAAATATGTTTATTTGATTCTAAATAGATTTAACTTCTACTAGCAACTTAGGTTGGACGTTCAGTCGTCTCGGCAATTTAGTTACGCACATAACGTTTTACTATTAAAAGAATACAAATTTTAATTATTTTGTTTAGTGTTTATACTATATTTTGTGTGTTAATTAATCTATAGAAATTAATTGTCAAGTTAGCGTGGATGTGATTTAGATCAAATACGTATGGACGATATTGTTTAACTTAGCACAATAATTTAGATCAAATACATATGGACAATATTGTTTTAACTTAACACAATAATATAGGCTAAAGGTTGTAATTCGTCTCTAGTAGAAGTAGTGATGAATAAAAAATCAAATAAATTATTAAATTAAAGCTTTGCTAATACGTAATAAATAATTTGACAATAAATCGTTTGGCAATAAATTATTCATATTTTATTGATTTGATCGTTCAGCGATCAACAAATCACACAAATATCACGTTTATCAATTCGATTGGTTAATGAGCATGTTTTGATCATCATATGTAATAAAATCGAATTTGTGACAATACTGAATGGAGTCAAATCCGCCCATATGATTTTTTTATTATACCTAATCTTGCAATCTAATTGGTTTGAAACTATTACTATTAGTTACAAATAGATTTGCCCTTATATTTATAGTTTTAATAAAAATTAAATCAAATATTTAAATATTTGTCAAATAAATCAAATATTTTATTAATTTGAATTTGAAATTTTTGTATTTGAATTTGATTTGATATCAAATATCAAATTAAATTAAATCAAATTAAATTGTAAAACTCTAACAATAGATCATCTAGCAAACTGTGAAAATTATTAAAACATATAGAATATAATAAAAGATAAAATAAGTGCCAAAGTAGCGAAAATTATAAAGAAAAAGAAACTTGTAAAAGAAGTATCAGATAACTCAAGAATAAAGGGAAATATATAAGGGTGTGGCGACTTAGTAAAGTTAGTAAGTTGTCGCACCTTCAAGCAGCAGGACAAGAGTTCAAATCCCATTAGTGATGAAATTCGGAATTTATAGAATGCATTATGATATACTGTGTGACATCCTAAGGGGTAGTAGCACCTGTAACCTTGGTCATACCAGCTTGTTCTGGAAGGCTATATAATGCATAAGTTATGCAGGCATGTAAATCCACAGCTCAGGCTCACAGCACACA